ATAAAATGCAAGCCTCTTATTTATAAACATATATCAGCCATTCTTCTGTTTCTATTTTAAAAAAGAATAGAAATAGAAATATGAAACGCTGACTTATAGAAAAACGATATTGGTAAAGGTCTATAATTTATAATAAGATATAGTCTATAATATTTTTACACAAAGAGAAAATTTGTGGTCACATAATACATTTAATTTAAATTTTATTTCTCAATACATGTCTATTTTAACAATATTTTAAAATCAATAATTGAATATACCTTTTAAACGTAAGGTATAAATGATTTTGCTTACTTTACTCAAATTTTCTCATTAAAAATATAAATTTTATAGTTTTTATAAAAGTGGTACTATGATAAGATAAATCCAATATCAGTTTTATCAGTACCATCAAAATTTTAGAATTTTTACCACATCGTATTTTTTACAATTATATGGTAATATTGCAAAGCTATATTTTCCGGATTTTATGTTTTTATATAAGGATAATAATATGCAGGGTTAAACAGAGGGTGAATATTATAAAAATAAAAAATCATAAAAAATTAGTATAACATAAAATATGCTTTATATTAGCAAAAAACCCTTATATTAGAAGCTTAATTGATTCATACTGCACTATATTTAAAAAATTAATCAATTTATGATTTTGTCGATTTTTTCGGCTCTTATTTATTCTTTGTTTCTGTGATTCACTCATTTTTGCAAAACCATTCAAAGTAGGAAAAATTGTTACCAAATTCGGTAGCATTCGCAAAATTCTTTGCCTTATTCAGAATGTAAACTCATTATGAAGAAAGCAACCCAAAGTTTACTTATGAGTCTATTTACCGTAGTTTTATTTACAGGCAGTATGAATAAAATAAAAATGTTACGACCTAAAGATAAACGGGGTTAATGTCCATTAACATATTGTTTGATATGTTCGTTTAATGCTAAGGTAAGGCAATTTGCGTTTAAAGCTTGTTAGAACTTTTTAATTAACTTGAGTGTATGCTGTGTATAAGCTGTGAATTTATTATGTAGCATGTAGATGAAAATTATACTGAGCATAAATAAGTAGTCTAATCAGATAAACACTAGAACTGAATGTGATAATTAATTTAGCACAATGTATATTATTAAAATTGATTTTAAAATATTAAATAGTTATATATAAATTTAAATATAAAATTTCGTATCAGAATAATTTAATTTTGTTTTAATTATTTTAATTCCTTTATTGATGAAATATTTGTTTGAAAAATATTGATCATCGTGTAGAATTTATACTTGCACCTTTTATATTAGACGAAATTATTTATATCTTCATTATCCCATTCACATTATTATAAAAGAACTCTTACTCGCTCGTATTAAAGCTCGTATCTCAAATTGTGCTCGTACGTCGAGACAACAAAACGTTTTTTTGGCAGTTCGTATCTCAAAACACTCGTATATCGAATCCCTCGTAAGTCGAGGTGCCACTGTATTTTGTTAGGCTAGATTTCAGAACATTATCTTTACTATATTTAAAGATAAATTTGCAGCTTTCCTCTTGCAAAAGAATTTTAACAACAAATCTAATATTATTAACTTAACAAAAAGGCGTTCCAATTATTTATCTGGTAAAACAAAAAGCCACAAAATGAATCAATATTTTAATAAACGTCGCCTGACACATCTTAAAATATCATAAACCTACAATTAATTGAAATTAGAAAGATACAATAATATTATATATGTTAAAAAGACGTTCAATCCGAGCTTTTTCTGGTAAAACACAAATAAAAATCTATAGCTCATGAAAATTCAAAAGCCTAATATAATATATAAAATTTGTCAAAGAGAGAAACACTATCATTCGAAAATTTTTATTTTAGCCTCAAAAAACTCATTAAACAAAAGAACTTTTTTTTAAACAAAAAAAAAGAGAATTCAAAAAAAAATTATTAGAATCAACTTCCAACGCATTCATTCAAAATCAAGATTCTGTTAGGACTTACGAGTAGAAGTCATTACATTAAAGAGCAGAAATTTCATAGCTTTCAGAGGAGAATATTTGAAAAAAAAATTGATTATTATTACAAAGCATGACAAGTTACATTATTTGTCCTATAAGTATGTATCTATAAAATAAATAGGTAAGAGCGGGCCACAAAGGTCCAATTTGACCTTAAGTAATTATACTGCATAAACCAAATGAACTATATCACAACACTTAACGCTTATCGAACAATCAATTATTAAACTATGTTCAGTTATTTTTGATTTAGAGAAATGTGATTTTTACTATTTTTCTAAAATTATTCATCTGTCCCGTTTTACCCTACAGGCGGGGTAAAATGAGACAGCCAGGGGGCAAACAGATCCAACACCTTTTTTAATTTTGAAGGGATTCTACGAAATATTAGCTACGTTATTCAACCAATGCAAAATATAAATTTCATGGATACGTTTGATTTCATAGATATACATAGTCTGGTATTTTGTCAGAAATATTTATCAGCAGAGTTGGATTAAATCAAAGTTTTGTATGGAAATAGCATGAAAAATTTTCAAAAAATTTGCAGAGCGTGAAATTTTCAATAAAAAATGATACGAATTTTCACTTTTAATTCATTTGTCGCTAAGTTATACCTAAAAAAATTAATATTAAGAGCTAAAACTTTCAGAGAATTGTTTTTTATCAATTTGGAATAATTTGAGCCCTTGGGAGCAAGGAAATTCGAAAATGTCCGTATTAGCGACCACCCTAATATACATATACATATTATACTACGTGGTAGAGATGAAAGTTGGTCAGACATAAAAAATATAGTATTTGTTGATTTGTAAAAATAGTACGCATAAAAACAACTGAACTGTAAAAATAGTTATAACGAAAATAACAAGGCATGAACATGAGCTTTTTATAGTTATATTGCAAAACGTTTATTTTACTACTTGCCATTACTCCCAGAACCATAACAAAAATGGTTTCTTTATAGTTGAATAGCTTTCGTTTAATACGTTAAATAGATCGGGACGTTTGGCATTTATAGCACTGTAAATAACAATTTACGTCTGATTGATTACGTTTGCAAAAGTTCTATTAAAAATGTGTAATTCAATCATTCAATATATAAATACATCTACGATATACATCAATATAAATGATTAGCCGATGTGGCAATTATCAAAGTTAATTTCACTTTGAATTCCTGTAAGAACAACAGTAAACGTAATAGCGTGTACAATGGCTATTGTTATTGTAATTTATTCAATTCGAAATAAGGAAGTATTAAAAGAGAAAAAATGTTATGTTGTTTGTGTGTGCTATTTGTCAACGTTCTCATATGATTTTTTTATAAGGATATATTTACATAGGTAATTGATTAATAAAAAGTAATTGATGATGACTTTTTTATAGGACCAGATTCCTCGCCGAATGTGTAAATAAAATTAGTTGTTTTAATAATTCAAAAATTCCCAACATGAAAGATGATTGTGCCATTAGATGCCGTATGAATAAATAACTATTTACAAGAATAAGATATATCCAATAATGTATTTTCCTAATTGAATGAGAAGTACAGTAAAATGGATTTTTTGTTTTCAATAGATGAAAATTCCCAATATAAAAGATGATTGTGCCATCAATTAATTAAATAAAATACCTACAGTGAAATAGATTTTATATTTGGCGCATTTTTTATTAAAACAATATCTTAATTATTGTCAAAATTATTAACGAAATTTTCCAGTATGGGCACAGTATATCTGAATTTATTTGACAAAAATTTATCTTTATATTATATAAGTAATATCTAAAACGAGCAGTAGGTATACAGCAAATCGCCTATTTTCACATACATTTTGTAAACCTATGATTAAGATAAAATGAAAATAATAATAATGTGTTTGATTAGAACTTTGCAATAAATAAACGAATAACAAAAGTTCTATATTTTTTATTTATAGTAATCTTATTAAAAATGATATGTTGCTCACAAAATACATTTTTGTATTTTGACATTCCGAAGGAATTTATATATCTGCCAGAAAATTGGATTTACTAATTTTATATACTTTCAAATTTCTGAAACATTTGACATCACAATAGAAAAAATCAAATGTGCGTGAAAGTGTTTGTGAGCCAATACTTGACCATTTTTCTACGTCTTCGCCAAAAATTCTGAACTGATATTGAAAATTCAAAATTTTCTGTTGGAAAGTCAGTTGAAAGCCGCGCTTATTATTTTTTGTTAAAGATCAACAGGCCGTTTCTTTGTATTTAATTATTAAATTTTTTTTTGTGAAAGTGATGATAAAATTTTGTATGATAGAATTGGTGGTCTTAAAGAACAACCTAAAATATTGTAGAACTACAAAAAGCCTTTAAAACATACACCCCGTCTATATTTTAAGCTTAAATTAGATATTATTTGGATAGTGTGTTTAGCACAACATTTCGAAATCGGATTGATAAGTTAGTGAAAACTTCATTTTTGAAGTATACTTTTGAAAATTCTAAAATCATAAAAGTTACTAAGGTTCAATTATTTATTAAGTTAAGTTAGGTATTTATTAAGGGTAGTTCACGCAACTTGTCCTAAGGCAAACCATTTACACCTAATTTTTTTTATTATAAATCAATAAGGATTACTTTAAGGAATCAATTAATCACGTGGGGCTTAAAAGAGGGTGAGTTTGACAAAATATCATATGGGGGAGAGAGGTCTAGTACAATATAATGTGCATTTGTTTTTCACCTGAATTTAAAAATAATTGACCAAATAAAAAACAAAATCACGATTTTCTAGGTACTACGAGGGTAATTTTAAATATCACCACGTATCATCAAAGGGGAAGCAGAAGTTCAAAACTCCTTAAAAATCGATCACGTGATTGATGGGCGCTCCTTAATTAACTTACAATTACTCTTACTAGCAGAAAATATGAATTTTTTTGCAAAAGTCCCCAAAAAATACTAAAAGAATTGAACTAAAAACATAAAAAAGTATCATTAGTATCATTACCGTAAAAACGGGATCGGCCCGACTCTGCTGCAGCCTCTGTATTTCTCTAAACTCCTTCATGAGTCGCCGAGCACGAACAGTCTTTTGCGCCTCGGGCCTGTGCGGGACTCCCTTGCCGAGAGGAGCAGGACTAGTCGGCAAACTGCCGCTTCTCGCAGGAGAAACACCGCGCCGCAGTAATCTGAAAACCAATGAAAAAAGGCAAATTAATAAAATTGAAACAAAAATCATTTTAATTCATATATTTCAAATATATGTTTCAGATAATCGATTAAAAATATATTCTCATGGACCGATTCTACCGCACAACAGACCAATGTTATGGCAAGGCTATGTTATGAAGAACTTTCATACTAAATATTGACAAAAACCATGTGGTTGCTGTGCAGTCAGGCGTTTTTCTCAGGATCTCATGTAGAAAACCTAACCTAGAAACCACAGAAATGTCTAAAAAACGATCTTAGATAGCAGGGTCTTTCTGAACCAGCTTCATAACATACAAGTGACGTTGCAGTTTATCTGTAAAACGCCTGAATGCACAGCAAATACATGACATTTTGACAGTATTCAGTTTGATTCAGTAGCATAATGTATGGAAGTTAAAGCGTAACATGGCCTTGCCATAACATTGTTCTGTTGTGCTGGTGAATCTGCCCAGCAAAATAATCTCTCGAAAGCTGCATAAAAATTGTAAACAAATACATCGAGTATCGCACAGTATTCTGCCTCAATTGGATTAGACAACTACCGTGTTGCCATTCTTTCAAAAAATTCATATAATAACGTCAAACCTATTACTGAATGTCCTAGTATGGCAGACAGTATTAAAAAATAAACAAAAAAGAGATAATGCATTGAAACCTAACTATTTCTATCATATTTATTACATTTTAATATCGCATTCCCTGTCATTATTTATTAGTTAATGTAATTACATACATTTTCATCAACAAATTTTCCTTTCTATTTACAACATATTATGATTATACATGTTTTGATGGACTGCGCCATATAGCCCTCCCAGTTTAATTAAATGCATTATCTCGACATGCGTTCCAGTTAAAGTTTAACAGAGCAGATTCGATCGATCATGTAATTCAACAATTATTAATGACATATATTAACATGACACGAAAATTAGGTCGCTTGATAAATATTTCATACTGTTATTTACTTACATTTTCATTTGAGGATACAATGTAGTTGAAGTTTTTTTAAATGATATTGATATAACATAGAAAGGAAAAATACGGACAACATGATAAAGTAACTTTATTTAAAAATTGGCTGAATTTGTCAACGTTTCTGTGAGTGTATATCAAGAAGAAAGCCATAATAACAGTCCTGCCAGATGTTGAGCGTCATTGTCACAGTCTTGTCGCAGTAATCAGTTCAAACGCGTTTCCCGCCTTGAAGAGTTGATTTTGAAGGTATTTTCCTCATGTTTTTTTTAGAGACCTGATTATTGATATTTATAATTATTTCAATTGAAAGCAATTAACTTATGCTAGTACTGGTGATTTCAATCAATGCTATTGTAGAATCGGGTATTTGGTGGAATTTTGATTAATTATTAATATTTTTTCGATTTCGGACAAAATGACATACTTATACAATGAACAAAATGACATAGTACTATTTCGTAAGAATTGCAGGGCCAAGAAAAAAAATTAAAACCTGCCAACGGTGATAAGCTTTCAAATTCTACTCCAAGTATGCAAGATGATTGCTAAAAATAGACCAAAAAAATCCACCGGTGAAAGGCAATACTTGCATTTGTTGCAAAACCTTCTTTTTCTGGGTCTGGCGTAAATTGGATACAATGTATGACTTGTACCCTTTGGGTTTGCGTTTCATATGCTGATGTCCCAAAAAGGACCATACGATTTATTTGTAAACTGCATTTATAAAAAATAGTATCTCAGTATATCCTTAAGCTATATGTTATTTTGCCTGTACTATATGAATAAAATGGTTTTTGTAATAGGTTACACTTTTCCTTAATAAATGTGTTATTATAGTTCCCACATAAGTAAAATGCTATCTTATTGGTCAATCAACTTAAGATTGAGTAAAAACGATTGAGACAGGTTGTAATATCAGTAAATAAATGAATATCACAAATGAAAAAACAGAACACCATGTCATTTTGTCCGTACTTCCCCTATACTATATTACTGTAACTTATTGTATTAGTTATGTGCTTTTAAAAATCCTAATAGGTTGTTAAAGTCATGAAATCTATCATCATAAAAAGTATAATCAAAATCGTGAAAAACATTTCAACTATTAAATACGAAGAAACGTCCCGGCTGATCTTTGCCAAAAACGATTCCCAATCTTGCAAATGTTTGAATATTCGAATAGTTGAAATTTTCAAAAATTAGCTCAGAATTGTTGGCTAAAACGTATGGCAAAAATTTTGTATTTTCTGCTTATCTTCTAATTGCTAAATACTTACCTATTTCTGCTTATCTTCTAATTGCTAAATAAATGGCTGTTAATGTTTGAATCCGCTGTGCTATAGCCGTTTTTCACAAACACACATGCTTTTTACAATTTTGGTCTCAAATGGTTTAGAATGACTGAAAACGGTAAAATTAGCAAATCGGATTTTCTAAAAAGCTAGTTATGTGACAGAAGAAAGATAAAGAAAATATTGCAAAAATCTAACATTTTCGAAATGATAACATAAAATAAGAATTATATCATATATCTTATATACAACCAACTGAATGCTATACAGAAAATATTTACTAGTAATATATTGCTCCCAAAACACAAAATATAAAAATCCGTTGTCAAAAGAAAGAATGCTTTTCTGACTATATAATCTTTTGATGCATTTAAAAAAATATATATTAAAAGCCTCGAGTTTATCCTGCTTACATAAAAAACATTTGAAAGAGCCATTTTACAAACAAATTTGCTACGCTCGGGAAAGTATATTGAAAATTCCAATGTCGTCGGTTTTCCAAATCCATTGGCGTGAGATCATCGCGTGGATCTCCCCACGCTGAATTTAATATGGAAGAGCATATAACTCGAACGTTTTATTTGTACATCGCATTTGTTCTTGAACCAAATACTGAGGTGTTCTTGAACTAGATGTTGTTCTTGATAGTTATGAATTTCTACTACTATACGCTTTTTGGTACTAACTGTATACTAACTGTAAGCAATTCTATAATAAGTCAGTTTTTCAAGAATATGTATATAATTTTTCTGTTTTTTTGCAAGCATTTATTCATTTTATTTACATTTATGTATACCTAGTAGACTCGCCTTTGGGTATTGCTACTATCTTCTCGTTTATTCTGGAAGATATTCATAGTTTTTTTTATTTATATTTATATTTATTTGTATGATGTTCACGGTTCAAGTTATGCGTACAGAATGAGGATGAATTTCTTAAAACTATCTTAGTACCTAGAGTAGGTTAGGAAATTATTTTATTATAGAGTAGAAGGAGTTTAGTATATAGGTAGAGGGAGATGGATTAATAAAATTTGTGAGGCTCGAACACAGTCTCTGGTTATTGTTCATGAAAAACAGACTGCAAATTAAAAAAAGAATAAAAAAAAACATTTCCGAACTCTTTCAACGCCTTCATCATCTAAATCCTTTCATTGCTTGCGTAAATTAATTTTGGCAACAGTTATTCTATTTTTAGTATGAATCATTTTTATGCTTGAAAATTCCACATGATGTAGCAGATTTTTCGAGAACTCTATATTTTATTGAACTTAAATTACTCTTATTTCATTACTTTAATTTAATCTGTCTTAATACAAAAAAATAATAATGTAAGAATTACAAAATTTATTTTTGAAAGATTACCCTCCGGTAAGCGTTTTTATGTTCTATTACTATTTTTGATGATATACTATGAAAGCTATACAACATAATATAGCAACTATACTGTGAATTACTATCAAAACATGCATTCATATTTAGTATAAAATTGAATTGAAAATGACACAGCCATCCTTCATTTGTGACTACCACTTTATTTACAGCATCTTCCTTAATCTTTTCAGAATTCTTGAAAGATTTAAAACATACTAAACTTTCTTTAGTTGACAAAATGTAAATAATGTTAAAAAATTAGTAGTATTATAAAGAATTAAACAATAATATGTTAAACTGAGAAAAACTTCTTAACGCCTTTTGAGTTAAAGAATATCTAGGTCTAAATGGCAAATTTTCGACGTGTGTTATTAATCGACTTAATCAAGAATAATTAACATTTAGGCAACTTTAATAATTTTATTAAGTAAGAAATTTTTCAAAAAAAGTCTAAAAAATTTCCTTATAAAAAGTCCTAACTTTTTCGTTTTTAAGAAAACATTGACAACAGATCAAATTTTCGATCACCAATTCGCACGTGTTTGACGTCAAACGCGTCAGGATGACTTTAAACGTCGAGAAACCATAAAATTACATAAAAGTAAGCAGAGTCTCTAACAAAAATATAAATTATTTCTTCAAAAATTTGAAACATTTCTCATTAATTTATTTTTTTATTATAATATTAATTCAAATTTAAATTGTCTTGAAAAATTTGTAGAGTCAACATAATTTATTTTCGTATTATTGTTCATATTTTCAAACCGAATATTCCCATTCAGGAGTATATGTACATAAATATATGTGCAAGCAAAATCATATTAGCAAGTTTTAATGAATTGGAAAATCCGCGCAGCGTGTTTTCAAAACTGTAAATTGCTTGTGTATTGGACTTTGTAATAAAATATAACTAATAAACCTGCATAATACAACCTTTAAACATTTTTTTTTTCAAACTTTAAAAGTTTTAAAAATTACGTCGAAAAGTTTATAAAAATACTTAAATTTAATAGTTTTGAAAACAGATAATGAAGTGCATTATTTAATTTAACTAGTTCGTTATAAAAAAATAATATATTTGCTTCTGGACTTCTGGCAAGTCGACAAATGAATAATTAACAAATGTGTAAAATTCATAAATATAAATGGTAGCAACCTGAAGCACATGTAGACAATTGTATTGGTTTTCTTTTCCGCCAATCTTTAGAAGTTTTCAAAATTATGTCGAAAAATGTATGAAAAGACTTAAATTTAATGGGTTTGAAAACAGATGAACTGAATTATTAAATTTACCAAGTTCGTTATAAAAAATAAATTTGATAATTAAAATCA